CAAGAGATATTGAAAAGATAAATAAGAAGGGATGTAGCCATTTACCTACATGGGGCAACAGGGAAACAAGTGGAGGTGGATTGGATGGGAGAGTAGTTCTTAGTGTGTAGCTTCTCAAGAGTTTTTATTATTAAAACACATAAATATCTTATCTATTCAAAAAATTAATTATAAAAAGTCAATGTAAACAACAGAAATCACTTTACAACTCTTCAAATATACCCATTCTACGTAGACACATGGTAGTTCCAAGATCTCATTGACAACAGATTAGGACTTGATAACATTTAATCCAAAAAGACACAATAAGGCCGGCCCGTGGCTCACTCGGGAGAGTGTGGTGCTGATAACACCAAGGCCCAGGGTTCGGATCCCATATAGGGATGGCCGGTTCGCTCACTGGCTGAGGGTGGTGCTGACAACACCAAGTCAAGGGTTAAGATCTCCTTACCGGTCATCTTTTATAAAAAACAAACAAACAAACAAACAAAAAAAAAAGACACAATAAACAACTAACAACAAACTATGCAACACAAAAATATCATTTTATACTTGACAAAGAGCTAGCCACAGCTGTTTTGAACTCCAATTAACACTGGCTCACATGTATCAATAAACAACTCCATCAAAATTCTCATGAATCACATCCTCCTGCCATACCCAGACCTATTTTCAATCTTTAAAATGCATGAGTTTCTGAAAGTGAGCAGTTACACTTCACTGGTAATAAAAACCAGTCATTTCAACTCTGCAACTGAGATAACAAAGGGAACTGCTAAGAAGCCAGTATCGAGGGTTGTGAGCATCTCTGTAAGGCGCTGGTTAGAATTTCTATTTCTTATAGACTGAGTATCCCCCATATGCTCATGGCAGTTAAACTACATGTATCTTCTTCCTATGTGTCTGTACACATATTACTTATACTCGGAAAGGAATTGTGATGTAACACAGTAACTGCATAGAAAAGAATGCGTCATCTTTGGGGAGTTTGTTCTCAAATGCCTGGAAAAGTCAAGTCACTGAAATCACAAGGAAGGGGAATCTTAAGAATAAAAGAGAAATTTGCTGTAGCTGTAGTGCACATTTAAAAAATGATAAATATTTCCTTCTAGGTAAAGTAAGTAATGCTTGTATGGTAACTATTCAAAAATTCATTTGGAATGATAACAATAAAGTAACCCATATAAACATAGAGGCTATTACATCATTTCAGTGCTTAACAAAATCATATGTATCATTCAAAAATGATTACAGGAAGTAGTACTATGAAGAAGCACTTATTGCCAACACTGGTCCATAAAGGCAAACAGAGGTGTTGCTTATAAATTAAAATATAACTTAAATCTACTGGGAAGAAAAAAGGTAATTTTTTGGTATACTGATAAAATTACAAAAGCAAAGAAAAGGCCAAATATTTATTCAATAGCAAATTCCAATGAGTGGACATAAATTATTACCACCCTGCCATTTTCGTCGCAATTATTTAACTAAAAATGTTATCTGATTAAAAGCTGAAGCAAGGCATGTTTTGTGACACTAACGAGTTTATCACAGAAATTCAGGACAGCCAATTGCTATTAAAATGTTCAGGTTTCACCATTTCCTTCTCCAAAAGCCTTCTTAATTTTCAATCAAAAATTATTTTAAGGGCTGGGTGTACTTGGTTAGAGCATGGTGCTGGTAACACCAAGGTCAAGGATTCAGATCTCCTTACTGGCCAGCCACCAAAGAAATATAAATAAATAAATAAATAAATAAATAAATAAATAAATAAATAAATAAATAAATAAATAAATAAATAAATAAATAAATAAATAAATAATTTTAGAAGTCTGGCAAAACGAGTAATGTTGCCAAAGAAGGCGGGGAAGTGGGGGGATGAGGAGGGTGTGGGCGGACTGTGCTCTTCCAAAAAGTCAATGTCAATGAAAAGCTGTGGAAAATTTCCAGATTACAGAAAGCTAAAGAGGCATGACAACTAAATGCAATACCTGACCCTACAC